CTTCCATTTATAGTATTCTGAAAAAGACAAAACTATAAGGTCAGAAATCAGATCAAAGTTTGCCAGGAGCTAGGGTGACAGTGGACTGCAAAGGGGTGGGAGGCAACTTTTGGGTCATGGAAATGTCTTGACTGTGGTAGTGGTTACATGAATATATACATTTGACAAATGTCACCAAAGTATACATGTATAAAATGTAAATTTTAGTTATCTATAAATTACGCCTCAATAAACTTGACTAGAAAAACAAGATTCCCAAAATTGTAATGTCTTGCTTTATTGTGGAATGAGTTTACCTTCCCCCATCACATATTCCTAGACTAATATTTTAAACTACAAATTATTCTTATTTGTAACTAAATTATACTTCTTGAGCATTCCTGAGGCCTGATAAGGTACTTTACATGTATTATCTAATTAAATTATTCCACCAACTTTATGAAACTGAGGTGAGAGGTTCGGGTAATTCTAAAATTGGGATTTAAACCCAGGTATATGAACTCTCAAGGTCATCTTTCCCTCTGTACCTCACTACTTCCCCCAGTGCCTAAAGACAAGGACGAAACTTTCTATTCTTCACTATTTCTAGCATGTAACATTGGTGAAAAATAAGAAACACCTTCCCAAATTGAGTACCTTATCAGTGTAGGATTAAAGTCTGCTTTTCTGGGGAAAATAATCCCTTCCCCACTCTACTCTCACGCCCACCTTATCTCTGGATTAGCAACACTGTCCACAAGGAAAAGGCATTTATTTGTTTATTCCCCCAGTTCCCCTCTGCAATTTCCCAGCTTAGCAAAACATCTCTAACTCAGGATGGCCCTGGGGACCAGGTTAATCTGTTAATACTCCAGAGATAGCAGTTTCTATGGACATGGAATGATGATCTAAGATCATCTTTCTCAGAAATTGTTTTCTTAACTAGGGAAGCAAAATTTACTGTTTTGTTAAATAAAATCAGTCACATCACTTCATTTTATTCCTCTATACCGTCCAAGACTATCGCTTCAATTGCCAACTTTCTCAACCAAGGTATTTAACAATTCTTCACTGAACTAATCCCCTTCCAAGCTTAAGAGGTACTGAAGACAAACACCCTTGTTCTGACACTGTTCTCAGTTAAGATGCTTTAGTTTTAAGTAACAAAAAATCCCAAACAGAAAATGTATCCTCTCGCATAAGTTTGGTAGTAGGCAAGTTGCGGGGTTGATTAATTTAGTGGTTCAAAAGTCATCAAAGACCAAATATTTTCCATTTTTCTATGCTGGCATCTTTATAATGTTGGTTATTATTTCATAGTAACCTCATAATAAGCCTGTTTCATTAAAATTGATGCCTGATGGTTGGCTTATATGAGGAAAACAACTTTCTCATATGTACTTTGGAAGGCAATTCAAACGTATCTATAGAATCTTTTTAAATGTGCATATCCTTTGACTTAGCAATTCCATGTCTAAGAATTCATCTCACAGAACATTTAAATGGATAAAAACGAATGTTACTACAAAACATAACAGCAAAAAAAAACAAAAAAAAAAACCCCAGCCTAAAATATTGGGGTGACTACTTGAGACTCATACAATGGAATAGATCTCAGTTGTTTAATATGTCCAAGTTTTGCTGATTAAGAGTCAAACTGTAGAGTATGTCTGCATAAATAAAAATAGCTATGACACCAAAAGCATATGCAGAAGTAAAAATATATACTGATTACATCAAAATTAAAAATTCTTGTGCATCGAAAGACACAATCAACAGAAAAGGCAACCCACGAAATAGGAGAAAATATCATCTATCTAAGAGGTTATTATCCAAAATATGTAAAGAACTTCAACTCAACCAAAAAATTTTTTTTTGAAATGTTTAAAAAGACATTTCTCCAAAGATATACAAATGACCAATAAATATATGAAAAGATGCTCAGTATCATTAATTGTTATGGGAAAGCAAATCAAAACTACAATGAGGTAGTACCTCACAACCACTAGGATGGTTGCTATCAAAAATAGAAAATAAGTTTTGCCGAGGATGTGGAGAAACTGGAACCCTTGTACACTGTTGGTAGAATGTAAAATGTTGTAGCTGCTGCGGAAAACAGTAAGATGATTCTTCAAAAACTTCTAGGCATATACTCAAAACAACTGAAAGCAGGGTCTTGAAGAGATATTTGTATATCCATGTTCATAGCAGTATTTATTCACAATAGCCAAGAGGTGGAAGCAACCCCAAGTGTCTATCAACAGTTGAATGTATAAACAAAATGTGGTATATATACATACAATATAATATTATTTAGCCTTAAAAAGGAAGGAAATTCTGACATTCTACAACATGGATGACCCTTGAGGTCAACATGCTAAGTGAAATAAGCCAGACACAAAAAGATAAATATTATAAGACTTCACTTATATGAGGTATCTAGGGTAGTCAAATTCCAAAACAGAAAGTAGAATGGTGGTTTCCAGGGGCTGAGGAAGGGAGGGATGGGAAGTTATTGTTTAATGGGTACAGTTTCAGTTTTACAAGATGAAAAAGTCTTACAGAGCGGTTGCACAACAATGTGAATATACTACTACTGAGCTGTACACTTAAAATAGGTAAGACAGTAACTAGCATGTGGATTCCACCAAAATTAATTTATTTTAAAGTAAAAATACCAAAACGAGAAACATGAAATTATACTTTGTGGAATTTAGAAGGATAAGCATCTAACTTTTAACAGTGGCTATCTATGGAGAATACAATACTGATGGGTAAAGGAAGGACTTTTGTTTTCTAGTGTGTATCTTTCTGAGCTGTTTTGATCATAGACATGTACTAAGCCAATATTTTTAAATTCAATTTTTAAAAAGTCCATTAGATATAACTTTATAATTAAAATTAAACTCTAAGTACTAATAGACTTCTTATGCCACCTTAATAAGTTTTATCTAGCATCTCATCTCCCAAAAAGCACACCATGAGTAGCTGGTTATTATTAGTTCTAAAAGGAATAATTAAGGAAAAGCTCCTGTGTCACTCAGTTAACATTAGATGCTGCCTATTAGGCTTACCCTAGGAACTGCCCATGACACTTCCTGGCCAGTAATGCCTCACCCAAATTAGATATATACTCTCTAACCCTGAAACTGACATATGTGATATAGTTGGTACCTACAAACACAAAATCCTAGGGTTTTCAAATTATTCTTATCTTTTCTTCCTACCTACTATTAACAGAACACCAAGCCTGCAGCAGCACTTTTTCAGAGCCTGATGTTTTCCTCCCCTACACTTTTCAAGAATGTGTAAGAGAGTTAGTGGTGGTTAGCAACACCCTCAGAAACCAGTAGTCATTCCAGAAAAAATAACTGCTCATATACCAAGGGCTGCCAATGGGAGCAACTTCCCAGCAGTATGTTTTAATAACTTTTAATGAAGCAGAGTGTAATGCCTCCTATAATACAAATTCTGGTTGGATGAAAAAAATCTACAGATTGTGGAAAAATACAACTTAAAAGGCAAACACCACAGGCTCTGGTAGAGCACAAAAGCAAGTAGAGATTTCTAAATACAGAGCTCAATTGTAAGAGTTTAACTGTACCTTATTTCTCACTATCATCATTTGCTCTGTCAAAAACAGAACCTTCCATGTCTTGATCCATTCAGAATAAGCCACAGCAGGCGGTCTTGCTTACATAGGGCAGCTAGGTCAGAAAGGCCACACAGGCAAATGGAAGTAGCAGCCAGCAGGTTTTCTCAGGAATTATACTGCTCTAGCTTTTAGACTTCTTCCCAGCTATTTTGGTGCCAAGAAAGCTGCAGTCTTTGCTCTGTTCTGAAAAAGCTTTTCACCAGAAAGGCTGAAGCAGTCTCAGGGCTGCAACTCCCTCTGCTGCCCACTGTTTTCTTTGCATGCTATAGCAGGTTCAACGAATTTCAAACTCAAGTGTTGAGAGCTAAAGCAGCCTTTTATTTCAAAATACTAACAAAAAAGCACAAGTTCAAATTGGAGTGGAACAGCTAGAATCCCAAGTTCTAAGTTGGACTGACTTCTACACCACCTACAAATCTCTTTCTCACAAATGGTTTTTAACTCAGTTTAAAGAAAAGTCTTTTATCTTTCTCACAGGCATTTGGAAAAGCAGGAAATGGACTTCTTGCTCCTTCCTCTCCCACACTTAATACTGCCCAGTACCATAACTTAGGGTAGGCCTTTCTTATTTTTCAAGATCCAATTTAAATAGCACTTAGCATATGATATTGAAGTTATTTGTATGACATTCTGTTTCACTGTATTTATTCAACTTTGTGCCTCTCTTAACAGCAGATGTTCAGTAACTAACAGAATTCTTACTAGAAGGACCCTGAGATATTGGGGGAGGAGAGATCTGTCCACAAAACTCAATTAGGAAATAAACAATTATTGGGGGAGAATGAAAATTCTTAGAGATAATAAAAGACAGGTGTTTCTCCAACTAACATACTATTATTCTCCCTAACTTACCAGTGCTATTTGTAGTCTTTTTTTCAGTTTACCAATCTCATAGTCTCCCTCTTGTTAACTCTTAACAGAGCTCATTTTTAATGTACATTAGGGCATTCCATTCTTTGCTATACCTAAATACTTCTCACATTCTGATTTTGGTGATAAAAGAATTCACAAAGACCTCAAGCAGTGACTCTGAAAATGCTAAGCAAATACTGAAACTATGTCTCCAACCTACTGTGGTTAGAAACTCTATAGTGTTCCAGCATCCAGAATTAGAATTGATGATGAAGACATATAGTACTGTAATAGCTTTCATTTTTGTCAACACTACCATTCTCCACCACCCAATATCAGAAGCTTACCTGTCAGGCAGAATTCCTGTTCTTTGTCTTAAAGAATCTACAGATCAGGCTCTGTGAAAAGCAAATGCCCAGGGGCCAACCACCACCCCTCAGAAAACTTTAACATACCAATAACTAATGGTGGCACTGTGTAAAAGGCCTCTACCACTGGAAAGAAGGAAACAATGTAAAATTTTTAATAAAAACAATTCCACGGCATTTATTGTTATCTGCTAATAACATAAGGGAAATCAAAGCAATATGAATAAATGTTCATGAACAAAGTACACCTACAAAACACAGACTCTATTGCCTTCTCAACAATTGCTCACTTCATCAGTCATTTCTAGTTGGAGACACTTTGGAGCAGAGTAATATTATCTCCTTTTAGCATGATCCGACCTGCAACACAAAATTTTTTTAAAAAGCTATTAATAGCCATTCAGACAACCTTTAAGCCTCAAAATTTTCAATCATTCTTGAGCAATTTTGAAAATATTTTCTCTTGTATATGAACATTTTCAAATATTAATATATTTAAAGGCTGTGCATATTAGAGCATTTGCACTCTTTCAACAAGAAACTAATGAAGGTTGAGAAGTTATTTTGTGAAAAAGTACAATTTTTGTAGACTAAGTCAACTAAATAGGTCTACTCCATTTTCCTGATGCTCTGAGTTTGTAGAAGTTGAGAAATGAGTTGTACATCAAGTTTAGGAAATGCAGCACATTAAAACTCCATTCTTAGAATTTAGTATGTTAAAGATTCATCCTTCAATACACAGACCTATTTATGTTTTACCCAACATTTCCTAAACTTATTCGAGCAGAGAATGCTTTTTGCCTGAAGATATCTTCTTTTGCCTATAGATATCTTCTTAGAAGATATCTATAAATATCTTCAGGAACATTGGTGTTCAGCAAACAGTTTGAGAAATGATAATCAATCCCAATAGTGATTAGTTATTTTTACTTTCCCAGGCTTCTACAACAGGCAATATTAATCTTTTCTACAGTATCTATAAGACACTACTATGGGAATTCAAAATTTTGCAAATAATTTGTAAATAATATGTCAATAAGACTCATTTGCCCTTCCTGGCAAGACATGTTTAAATTTAAACAACCCAGGCTTTCATAAAAATAGCCTAAGCAGGAAAATACACAGCAAAACATAATTCTCAGAATGTACTTTCTACACCATCTCGTATAGGCTCAAGAGAATCCTTAGGGTCTGGAAAAAAAGAGACACCTGAAGCCCACCACTGATAAAAGTAATATTAGTGAGCTGTGAACTGAGCCATAAAGCTATTAGAGACAAAATGACTATATAAACGTAAGTTAATGGGATTTTAACAAAAATGATTCAATTTGTCTTGATGAAGCCATGAATCCTAAAAGACTCTGTTAACTGGGTTAAGAAATTGTGTTTGTTGATCAAATATTCTTGAGTTTCTACTACATGGAAGGCACTGAGTTAGGCACTAAGCACACTGGGGAGCAAAAAAGATGGGACACATGTACTTATGGAACATCTGGTCCAGTGGGAGAGAAATTAATAAAATAATCCCATTAATGAATGTTTTACTACAAACTCAGAGAGCACAGCACACCCTGCTCCCCACACCCCACCCCAACCCCTGATTTTGGCAAAATCAAACCAAATCATGGGAAGAGGTGATATTTTATCTGAGTCTGAAAGATACACGGAACAGGATATACAAAGATTTATGGTGGGGACAATATGCAGATTTAAAGAACTGAAAAAAGACAAATGTGGATGAAGTTCAGAAAATGAAGCAGAGTGATACAAAATGAGCAGATGGAGACAAGGCCAAATCATGAAGAACCTTGCAGAATACATTAAAGATTTTCTTATCCTATGAGCAACAGAAAGCCATTGAAGGCTGTCAAGCAAAGGGACAAGGTCAGACTGGTGTTTTTAAAAGAGGACTGCAGTCTGCAGAGTAAATTGGAGGGGGATGAGGTACTTGTAAAGAAATCAATTAGTAAACCAAAAGAAATTGGTGCCATTCAGTAAGGGAACACTAAAATAGCTCTAAAAGTGTGAGGGGTGGGAACTGAGTTTGATTTCAGATATGCTAACTTTGAGGAGCAGTGGGACACTCAAGGAGAGATGTTAAATAGGCTCAAAGAAGTCTAAAGCTAGACATATATTTGGGAGTCAATACAGTCATGTACCACTTAAAAGGAATACGTTCTGAGATCTGCATCGTTAGGCGATTTCATAGTTGTGCAAACATAGAGTGAGTGCACTTATACAAACCTAGAAGGTACAGCCCACTACACACCTAAGCTATATGGCATACCATCATGGTATACATGGTCCATTGTTAATTGAAATGTCGTTATGAGGCACATGACTGTATATAGATGGTAACTGAAGGTGTGGTCTTGAATGCCTAAGAAAATAACATTGAGTGATAGGAGGGCCTACAACCAAGCCTTGAGCAATTCAAACACTTGATGTTTGGGTCCCAAAGATTTTATGGAAATCTGAAACAGAATAACTAGATATGAAAAATGAAAACCTGAGTATAGTATTTGAGCCAAGGGAACAGTTTTTTAAGGGAGTGGCCAACAGTGCCAAATACTGTTGAGAGTTTAGTAAAATGAGGACTAATACTGACCATTACATTTAATACCATTAGTCTTTGGTGACCTTGGTGGGAACTGAGTGAAGAGACAAAAGCAAAAATGGAGTAAGGTAAGGAATAAATGACAGAGGATAATTTCAAAAGTGTACCTCCCAAAAAAGTTAACTTCTCAAGTGCGAACTAAACACGAAGTGAGTAAAACTTCCTAAATTTCTAAAATTCTGTTAAGACCATCTATATTCTTACCCAACTGTTTTCTTGACTTTGTTTTAGAATGAATCTCTTCTGCATCATCTAATACGAGGTTCATATACTCATCAAAACCCTAGAAAAACAAGTCATTCACTGTCATCTTCAAGTAAGATCACATTCTAAATATACCTGTCTACAGAAATGCCAATTAACTTCAGAAATTCACCCCTCCACTGATCTTTCTGCTGAAAACACCATCGCCCACTCAAAGCCTCTTTTTAAATAATGAAGAAAGCCAGAATGCATTCCAAATTACTTCTGGAATCTTTTGGACTTAAGATTTCATTAGCTATGCCAAAGAGCCACTCTCCCTATCCTTTATAACCTGCCCAATAGAGAGTGTGTTCACATATGAATTAACTTTTTCTGCCACCGTTTTTCCCATGTTCCTCACAAAACATTACCTCTATTAACCACCATTTGTTTTCCTCCAGTAACCAGGGAAGGTGCGATTACTAAGGAAATCTATGATGTCCAAAGGCATACCAAAGTATCCTAACATACTTTCAGTCTTATTTCATCTTCCTTGAAAACATTATTTAGGGTATCTGCCCATCCTGGAAGTCTTAACTAACCCCTCCCAGCTCTTATCAGGTATCACCTGACCCAAAACTAATAATCCATTAATCCTCACACCCTCCCTAATTTTTTTTGTCCCCTCCTTCAAATACTAATATTGTTGTTTAAATAGTTTTTAAAAATTAATTTTCCTTCTATTTTATGAATTACCCAATTCCTATCAAATAGAACAATGAGACAAGGGACAATGGGCCCTAAAAATCTTTCCTTGGGTTGGGTCTTTAAACTTTTGTACACTGCTCTGGCTGGCCACTTTTTGTGAGATCTTTTTCTAAAACAAACTGCTCTGAGATCAAATATCCTGGGTACTCACAATGATACAGCCTTCTATCCGCATATTCACTTGTTCATAAAGCCACACCTGAATCCGAGATCTCTGAAATAATCATAAAAAGAAATGTTAAAAAAATAGGTATACAAAAGTCACTTTGATCAAACAATAGAGAAATAAGGCTCCTAAAAAAAACTTAAAAAAAAAAAAGATCCATGAGTTTTAATCATTTGACTCATACCTCGGAATTGGTAACCAAGAGCAGTACTTGTCAAGAAACATTCTCACTTAATAAATGCTATATTGGGACTAAGTTAATCTTCTTGTGATCTTGGGCCTCAATCATATTTCTTGTTGCTTCTAGTTTCCATACATTTAAAGTGAAAACTGGTAACAGCATAGTACAAAGCAATAATTTCTAAAGACCAGTTGATTCTTTCTTCATCTGCTATAGCAAAATCCAGCTCCAAACGAGCTTTCTCTAGTTTCTCAGTTTTCCAGGGAGGGAACCTCAATTCTGGTGATTAGAGATTACAGTGACTTGAAATTAATCTGCTTTTCAACTGTGCTGTCACATACTAAAATTTCTCAGAGCAACGCGAACTACATTTTCTTTGAGATAATTTAATCACTCTGTCCTGCCAACTCAGAACTTCAGATGCTTAAAAAATCCCCCCAAAGGAAAGCAGGCTGACACTAACTCTTCTGAATCTATCTATCCC